GAGAATCTGAGATAAAGTGTAGAGCTGGATGAACACAGTAGGCCAAGCAGCATCAGAGGAGCAGAAGGCTGATGTTTCAGGCCTAGACCCTTCTTCAGAAATTCTTCAGCCTTCTGCTCCTCTGATGCTGCTTGGCCTGCTGTGTTCATCCAGCTCTACACCTTGTTATCTCAGCAATACCAAATGATTGTTTTTTTTTAAATATGTAATTGAACAAAGCAAAATGAATTGGTCTACAAATTCAAATAGTCAACATTGGAAACACAGAAAAGCTAAGATCTCACCCCTAAAAAAGGTACATTGATCGAACTAATCTAAAAAAGGTCAAAAGGGCACAGGTATTTCTAATTTCAGGCAGATTGTTTTCTTTAAAATGTAGGGCTCTTTTGATTTGCATCTAACACAGGGGATTCATTACAGAGGAATGACATCAGAAGCAAGGACAGACTCCCAACAGTTTTCTTTACTGGAAAATAGTGGCATAATGGACTGATTCATTGCCCAACACGCACAGCCATGTTCCATATCACGTATGTTCCCTGAAACTCCAAAGAGATTGATACTTAACAAGAACAGAGATGATGGAGTTTAGTATGCTAAATTAAATAACAATTATGGTTCTAAATTATATTGATGAGAGAACATGCTGAGAATCTGCACGTTCTAAAATGCAATTATAAAAGCATTATTTTTAAATGTACTTTTATGCACTCAAGAAACTGCAAATATTCACTGGAGCAGAAATAAGAGAGTGTTGCTTCAGCTCCACCAGAACTAGCTTTGATCCTCCTCAAGAACAAGGTTCTGAACAAGAAATGATACCGGCATTGCTCCTCTCCTTAAGTTTTGGAAGTAAACCTCTACTATTGTACTCAACAGCTGGAACACATGGGAACATACATCACAAAAGCAGTTAAATTACAGAGACCATATTCAACCACACACCAATACAGCATATACATATTCATGACACCTTAATAATAGATTTTGTTTTATTATTATCACTTAGCAAAACATCATGTCACCATATCAGTGAAAAGAAGGTCCTACATAAAGAAGTTCCTTTAATATTTTGGCCCAACATAAAGATTTCCCTCATTGGAAATGGGTTTATTGTATGTCACTAATAATGGGTTGATCAAGAATCTCATGCGATAGTTGTAAAAATGTTTCAAACTAAGTAGTTAAAAACAAATGAAAAGGTTATTTCAAAATTACAGAATTTATTTATTTTTTTACAGCAATCATATCTGGCCCTGCAGTTAGTCAGTAAGAGAAATTTGTATCCTTCCTGGTTGATGGATTCTGAAGCACATACAAACTCAACACATAGCTGTTTCTTAAACAAACAGTTAAGCCACCACTTTACTACCAACTGGTTTTAATATTGTAATTTGCCTACAATTGCTGACTTTGTCAAATAGAAAAAGATATGTAGCTCCAATGTTACTGAATTCAAATTAAAAGCATAACCCATTTCTTCACCTCCAGGAATCGCAATAGAATCTGTGCAAAATCATTTCACAACACGGGGAAGGAAAGAACAAAAAGAGCTAATTTTCACCACAGAATAAAATTACAATCTTCAAAATAAAAGAAATCCTGCACACCAATATTAATAATTTACACCTTATGGAATTTACGTTCACATGATAGCAAATTACAAACTTGCTAAGGAAGAAATGAGACTTCAATCTCATGCACATACACCAGTATACATGAAGACATAGAAAATTCATTAAAGATCCTGCAACTTTTAAGTCTTTTTCATAATGCCAAACTGGGTTTAGCACAACATACTTGCACAATGCAACTGCTTAGGAAGTTTTTCACCAGTACTTTGCAATTACAGATGGAAAGTTATTAGGATAACTACCTCTACTGTCATATTATTCAAAGTCAAATGAGATGCAAATTGTTTGAAAAAAATTCTCATCATTCTTAGGCATGTTTCACAAACAGCAGTCAGATAAGTCTGAACATTTCAAACACACACTTATGCATGTAAAAACCATTAATATTTCGGATCAAAAGGCATTGGGCCCAACTCAATTTCAACATTTGCCATATGTCTTCCATTGGTACGGCCTGGCTTGTTCCATTTGCGTTCCTTGTGGTGGTAAGCGTGCTGGTGTTTCCGTTCATGTCTCTGGTATCTGGAGCCATCTGCATTTTTAGATGCCTGCTTTCCGTACTGTCTGTATTTACCAGCATCGTAAAGCTGACTGCAAGATTAAAAGGGAATTAATTATTGATTTTTCAGTAAAATAACATATTACTTATAATGACTTACCAATGTCTGTGTTCAATTCTGTATTAGCATTTCTGCAGCAGAAAGTTGAAGTGCTTTCACTACTTTCCAAGCAGCGATACACTGCTGTATTTGTAAATCAGAAAGTTACATTTTTCTTCCATATTTTTGATTTTGAAAGTAATTTCATTTATCAATGTAAAAAAATTCCATCATAGGCATTTCAACTTACTGGGTTGAATTGTTTACCTCTCTGATAAGAAAGGTCCTACAGAACCTAACTCCTATATTGATATAGACTCGCATGGAAACACATATTTCACTGAAAGTCATTTCACTTAAAGTCATGATTTTCAGGAACAGACACACTTTTAAGTGAGGACTTAGTATATTTCTAGTTCAGAGATATTAGTTTGTTCCACAGAGCTGAGATGGTGGTAGTGAATTCAAACAAGAGAATGCTAAGTAGATCTGTTCTACATGATGATCAGGTAACCTACAGAATTATCATTGCACAAGTCTTATAGTACAAGATGATCTTAAGCGAATTATCAGTCCACTGAGTAACCAATCATCCAAAATTCCATTCTGGTGGTCATAGATTGGCAAATGAGGTTTCATTAATTAGTTCTGCTGAGAGTTAGACTTGCTTCAAGTCCAAAATAGTTTATCATGATAGATCAGTCAGCAGTCAATGCATAGTATACTACTGAAGCCAAAAGGAGTGTGGTCAGTGCACACAAACCACGTTGATGATTGACAAATGCTATAGTTTGGGCTCCAACCACAGTCAACATTCTAGTGTCACACAATTAATCTTGCCATTGGCACCCTGTCTAAATAAGCAGTTTTGGTCTCAATCTTGGCACATTCAATACTCAGTAGCTGTCTCAAACCAGTAAATGTTTTCACATCCATTACTTACAGACCATTTCAATTCACAGGACAGTAATTTGTAGCTATGTTTCATGCCTGCCATCCCACCAACCTCTGCAGGAGTTATTTTGTTCATGAGGATAATATTTCATGACCACACTAGCAGTCTTGTCCAGTTTCCAAATTTATCAATACCTTGGACCTGAAATTTTTGTTTTGCTTCTCTACCCTCTCCTGCCGTTTTACTCATTCTGCCTCTTCAAATTCAACACATGCATCTCAAAATTCAACCAATCTCTGACTGCAAAAGAATAATAAAGGAAACAAGTAAGGCATCTAATAGACCCTCAGTACAGCAAGAATAGCACCAAGATCAAATCTCAACCACAGCTAAGAATGACTATACCAAATACTGCAAGCATTTGGAAGTGTCCCATAAATATAACTTACAACTGACACTAACCACTCAGATGTGGTAAACTATATGAGGAACATTGTGCTCCAACTCATCTGTAACCCTGGTTACAGACTGCCCCGCAATTCCAGACCACAACCTGCAAAGATAATGAAATTAACAGTCCCATACCATCAACAGAATCACCCTGGTACCACAGCCCTGGGACTACAATCAAATAGACTCCAATGTCTGTTCACCCCCATCAGTCTGGTTTTCACATCTATTTAATGACTACCTGTGTTCACCATACCACTGGTCAATGGACCTCCCCTGAGTTTTTAAAATCAGAGCCCACAAGTCTGCTGTCCACAGTGACCAACAAAATTCTAACACAGCGAAATTGTGCTGTATAAATGATGCATTTCAAATAGTTATCCTTTATAGTTCAAAACTCAGAAGCTCAACAGAAAAGTTTCTCTCCATTCTGATCATGGAGCCACCGTTTCTCTTCTCTATGCCTCAGTGAAACAATGTGTACAACAAGGATCTACATAGAGCAGGATACAAGGCACCTCAATTTTTTGACAGCATGAAAATCCAGTACTGTGAACCAGACTTCCTCATCTGCTACTTAATTAGATTCTCATAAAACAAGGGGATACCACTGCAAAGCAAGTACTCCCATCCTCACTAGGGTAATTCTGCCATTGCTTTGTGCCTTACCTCACAAAAAACTGGTTCCCTGAAGAACTAAACATAGAACGTAGAACAGTACAACACAGGAAAAGGCCCTTTAGCCCACCATACCTGTGCCAACCATGATGCCATTTTAAACTAACTCCATCTGCCTGCATATGTTGTTAGAGCAAAAAGACATGTATTCTGGATCTGACTGATGTTGTTGGTTTGAACATTGGTTGCCCAAGTTGCAAAGCATTTGTTTACTGGATGTGCAAATTATTAGTAGTGGCAAACAGAATTTACTTAAAAAAGATTCTTGAAAGCTAGTACATTACAAGATCAGAGATCCAGTGAATCACAGCAAGATCTATTCTTGCATCTGCAGCTTGCCAATGAGCAAAGGAGAGGGGGAGACCTAGTACTCCTATTTGTAAGGCTGTATTTTTTGCAAACATTTTCCTGGTTTATTTCTTAAACTGTGATCTTTGGACTACAACCACTTCATTCATATATTGTAGAACTCAAATACAACAGAAAGGGTTGCATCAATAGTCAGACAGCATCAATGGAGAGAGAAACCAGGTTTAACAATTCAGGTCATCAAACAGGCATCAATCTGAACCACAGATGCTGCCTGATGTGTTCAGAAAGAAATTTGAGATCAATGACAGTTTGAAGAAGGTGTTTAGACTGAAATACTAATTTTGTTTTGCTTCCTATATGCTGCCTGACGTTCCAAGCATCTTCCAGCATTTTCTAATTTTATTTCTAATATCCAGCATCTGCAGCCTTTTGCTTTTTGAATTTGAAATTTATCACTTTGTCCAGTCACAGCCTTTTGAACCAAGAGGACATTAACTAATACAATTAAAAATGATATACAATACAACAACAGGAGCGACTAAAAGTCGGTCTGTGCGTACAGTTCTGGTCACCCTGCTTTGAGAAATATTATTAAATTGGAAAGGGTGCAGAAAAGATTTACAAGGGACTGGAGGGTTTGAGTTCTAGGGAGAGGCTAGATAGGCTGGGACTTCTTTCCCTGGAGTGTAAGAAGTCGAGGGGTGACCTTATAGAGGTTTATAAAATCATGAGGGGCATAGATAAGGTGAATAGCCAAGGTCTTTTCTCTAAGGTAGGGGAATTCAAAACTAGAGGGCATAGGTATAAGGTGAGAAGGGAAAGATTTAAAAGGGACGTGAGGGACAACTTTTTCACAGAGGGTAGTGCGTATATGGAAGGAACTGCCAGAGGAAGTGGTAGATGCAGGTACAGCTACTACATTTAAAAGACACTTGGACAGGTACATGAATAAAGAAGTTTAGAGGGACATGGGCCAAACACAGGTAAATGGGACTAGTTTCAGTTTGGGAAACCTGGTGGACAAATTGGACCGAAAGATCTGTTTCCATGCTGTGTGACTCTCTGACACTATCAGACAAAAATTAAACATAAAGGGCCCATACAGTCCTCACAACCTTTGCTCTTGTGGTCCTCTGGTAGTAATTATTGGAAGTGATTAGGAGTGGAAACCCTCATCAGCATATCCAGGAATGCTAGAATCATTTTCAGTGCTCCTAAAACTGCTTTTCTCGAGATCAGATAACTCAGCATACATGTCTGATTAAAACGTGGGATTGAACCTGGGACCTACCTCGTCTGCATGAACTACTCAATCACTAGACAACTAAATGAGCCAGCGGCATACAAATCAAAACCTAGTAAAGCAGGCCTGATCCACATTCTATCAGATCAAACATTTTTATAGTAACAGCAAACTTCAAACTGTCTGACCTCTTGAAAACTGCCCTGCGGATTATCAGAATTCATAAATGAAGAATACTATTCAGTACATTTCTTTTCAAGTATGTCAAACCTAACATAAGTGGTACACAACAGTTAACTACTGAATTTAAATCCGTGTCAATTTTTTTTCACATTGTGATTAGCCAGAATTCAGTCAATTCCTGAAACAAAATGCAAAGTGTTTCCACAGTAATGTTGACAATCCAGAATGAAAACTAATGAATATCTTGGCTTCTTCATTGTGCAGTTCAGACTTCTTCTCTTCAAGGTGAAAATAATTGTACATGCCTGAAAAATAATTATAAATTGTCTACAGAAAATAAAGTGGCAGGTTTGGTAAATATTTGATTAAAAAAGAAAGTTACCTTGGTCCAAATCGATTGAAATAATTGTCCCCAAAAAAGTGCCTATAAATGTATTCATCTAGGTCATCAAAAGGATCAACTTTATCTTCTTGGTGCTCTGCAATATCTTCAAGGTAATCCTCAACATCATTGACAAAATCAGAGAACAACATTTGGTCATGTATAAAAAGGCCATTATGAAAGAATCGGTTTATAAATTTCTCCAGCTCACTCCAGCGTTGAAACTCAACCACCTCCTGTTGAAGATAATTATGCAGAAGCTTATGGAAGTCTTCAACCTTGATGGGATCGAGGACTTTATTAAAGAGGCTCAGCGATTCTTGATGGGCACATTCAAAGACACCAGAGCAACCCTTGGGGCTCCTATAGTGGGTATGTTTTCCAAAGTTGTCATGTTCACCTGTACTCTTCTCAAAATTGAGAGGCTCCTTGGAGTATATTTTGTTGTGTTTCCTTGTATCACTGTACTGGAACTGTGCATCAGCTGTTTCTGTGGGTTTATGTTCACAGGAATCTTTGCCTCCATGAACACCATGCTGGTTTACTCTACAAGGGTGGTCATGGCGTTGCCAGAACCCGTGACGTCTAGTCTTTGCATCTTGTTCTTCTTCACGTCTCTTATTTTTGTGAAATAAATTTTTGGCTGAGTTTTGGAAATGTCGGAATGTGGATTTAACAGAATCAGAGAATTTTTTAAGGTTCTCTTTTACAGCTTCTTTTGCCAATTTAATTTTTTCTTTATGATGACGCACAAATTCTTTAGTTGAGTTTTTCACAGCATCAAAACCATTCTTAACAGATCTCATGAAACTTTCTTTGGGTTGGTACTTTTTACTGCGAGTCCCATAAAGCCCCTGATTTGGTTTCCTGTCTGGCTTCTTTGAATTTTTCTTAAATTCATGGTCATCCTTTTCTTCTTTAGCTTCAACATAAAGTCTCTCCCACAAGTCAGAGCGTTGCTGCTCAAAGTCCAATTTCTTTTCCAGTTCTGCAAGTCTAGACTGCAAATTCTCTGTATCTTTACTTTCTTCTTCTGTATCAGCAGAGGACTGAAGATGACTCAGAGACTCCAGTTCCTTACGCAGAGCATCAGTAATTTCCCGTTCTTTGTCTAATTCCTTTCTTAATATCTGAGCCTCATTCACAAGATTTCCTTTCTGTTGAAGAAAATTCTGTATCTGTTGCTTTTCCTCCTCCAGATGATCTTTCAGCTTCTGGTTTTCAGTGATGATCATCTCAGCATCTACCCCTTTTCCTTCTAATGTTCTAATTTGTTCCCTCAGCTTCCGAAGCTCATCCTGGAGCAAAGATAGTGCTTTCTCTTCATGCTCCAGAGATTCCTTCATACGCTGGTTTTCTTGAGCAAGTGTTTGGTGTTGTGACTCAACAGAAAGCTTCTCATCCATAGTGTGTTTCAAGCGTATTTCCAAGTTTTCTCCCTGTGACTAAATAATCAAAAGGAGATAACTATTAAATGCACGTACATGAAGGTAATTAATAATAGTTTACAAAATAGTTTTATAACTGTACAACTCGGACACAAATTGATTTTTCAAAAAAAATGTTAAATATGGACGAGGCAGCACATTAATGTCAACACAGGGTGGTACTGTTTAGGAGTACAATGTGCTCGATTTTAAAGCATTTTCATTTAATTGTATATACTCTCGGCAACCAGCCCTTCTGTAGTTAACCAACAATTATTTAGCAAAGAACATTTGCTGAAAACCATGGTATTTTGAATCTTTGCTGCAGATGAGAAAACACATCTTAAGATTCACGTAAGCTCTTTCTTTACAAAAACTCATATGCAACTGCTTCATATTGGAAGAATACAACTTCAAGTTTTGTTGAAAACCCACATTTCCCCTTAGGTGCTCCACGTACTAACCCTGGTTTTGGCTGTCAACTAGAAGATTATTTAAAAAGTGTAGCAACCGCACAAATTACTTCACCAGAGGGAATTGGGAACAGATTGATTTGATTTGGTGAATTTCACTGGTGGATCGATTATCTTTTCACTCATCGTGGCACACATTATGAAAGTAATCAATCTTGAATGCAACATTTAATAGAAATACCACTACTTTTTCATTGTAGATGACACTGATTTGAAAATTCTTCCGAAAATAAACTCTGCCTTTGTGATTCTCCAAAACTAGCCTCCTGGTATCACCGTACCGTTGTTAAGTTTAACTGTTCTCTGGATTAAGCTAAAATAACAAAAATAACAATTTTAAAAATACACAGTAACCTTCATAACCATCGCAATTTTAGTTTTACGTTGTTGTAGATACGAGCGAAACAGACAATGTTGGTCCAGATAAGTCTGTTGTAGAAAAATGTTGCATACAGATTGTGGAAGTTCAGGAAATGGCTGAAGAATCTAGTCTTCACAGAAGAAGACTGCAATCAAATTCTATATTCAGTAGGCCTCAGGATTCTTAAAAATAAAACACAAGCAGACACTGACAAAGTTTAGGCAAAGATGACAAAAGACACCTTACTCTGCAATGAACCTGTATAGAATTTTGTGTTGCAAACAAAAAAAAAACCCTTAAAATACAACTGTGTCCAAGGTATAGATAAGGGTGAAAATAAAATCAATCGGGTACATACTCTAAGGATTTACAAGAGAGTAGAAGGATACCAAATGTCATCTAATTATCCATAAAAAGGTGCAACCAGCAACTCCTCTGGGGCAACTAGGGATGTGCAAAAAATGCTGGCCAGCCAACAATGCCCATATCCCATGAGTGAAAAAGACATGAAAAGTATAGACTGCATAATTTTTTTTGTAATAGAGAAGACACCCAAGAATAATATATACTGGATTATCCTTAGCTTGCAGATCGCAGACATTAAGCTACAACATGGATTTAAAAGCAATAGTGTATAATATGTCAGAGTTCTTTAAGAAGTGATCAAATATTGAACAGCATTCATAATGGGCTGGATTTTATGGTCATTGAAAACAGAAAGTAAAAATATTAAATTATCAATAATTTTAATTAATTCTAAGGACATCAAAAATAAATGGTTTGAGATACATGCACAAAAAACTAAAATATAAAAGTAAAACTTCAAAAATGTGACTTCTTAATCATAGTGGAGAAATTTGAAATTCCACAGACATAACATTAATTTTTCAGGGCCTGAGAGGTTTTCGAGCAATAAATAAGACTTTGATACTTCATTAAATAAAGTGTAGCTTTTCCCAAATGTTTCTGCAATGAGACAATAGTATAAACAGACCGTGGTATTGTCAAATCAGTGACTTCTACTTAATTGCAATGTCAGTGTGTTGTCTTCAATACCACACACAAGCTATAGAGAAGCATATAACTGACAGCAACTTCCAGACTCTTGCTTTTAAATGCTCATGTGCAAACTCCAGAGGTTGCTGCCAATTAGAAACGAGTAATGATAATAAACATTGATACACCTGGTGTCTCTACTATCACAGAATCCAGGCCAGTATGTATTATATATGTTTCAAAAGGCATTAGATAAAACCGTACAGCTGAGACTTCAACTCTGGCTCAAGGGAAGTGATAAACTAGTTATCTGAGTTTAAACTAGCTTGTGCGAGAGAAGAGAAATGACAGAAAAGAAACCATCTAGATAGTAGTAAACAATGGAGTCCACACAGTCAATAATGTGAAACTGGAAAAGCACAGCAGGTCAGAAAGCATCCGAGGAGCAGGAAAGTCTGACCTGCTGTGCTTTTCCAGATTCTAATCTATCGACTCTGGCTTCCAGCATCTGCAGTTCTTAGTCTCTCAGAGTCCATATAGATTTGTGCAAAGGCACATACTGTCAACACTACTCCTGAATGTCTGAAAAGAGAAGCACCTGGAATAAAATTACATTTTGATAATTCCTACCTGAATAATTCAGAGCAAAATATAAAAGGGAACAGTTCAAAAGTTTGTAGACCAATTAAGATGAAGAACTAGGCTTCAAAGCACAATAAGCAAATTTGACGTAATAAATTTTGAATGGTAACAGAGATTGTGTTTGCAATAGAGAATCCTTTAAAGAAAAAAAACTGGAAGGGGGAAAACATCATGATATAATTAGTAATCATTCAAGAATTTTTTATCTGTATTAATAAAACTAGACAAAATACTAAAAAATCCATCTCAAGTCATTTGACTACAAGTCAAGGAAAGTTATTTCAACCTTGTGCTGATCAATAGAGAGGCCACATGCTGTTCTGGCACCCAACCTTCAAAAATACATTGAGTCGTTGAAGAGGATTCAAAGAACAGCAACATGGGTGACTGCAGAATTCAGTACTTCGAGGCAGAGCTAAATTCTGAGATAGCCCGCGAATTCCCCTCCAAGTCACACATCATTCTGAATTGGAAATACTATATTATGTTATTTCTTCACTGTTGCTAAGTCAAAAATTGCAGTGGCTCACTGCTGCCTTCTCAGGGGTAATTAGGGGTAGCAATAATCACTTGCAACATTAGCTAGCATGGGTGTTCATATCTGATGAAGGAATTTTTAAGAAAGGAAAAGGACAATCTTTCACGTGTTGTGAGGCATAGATTATGTATACCTGAACTGCTTATTAGATTTTTGACTGCTGATCTAGAAAACAGAGGTTTAAAAATAGGAAAAATAACAAGTCACATTAAGCATTAGAGTTAAGTAACTCCCTCTTTTTCAGAGAAAGAGAAATGTAGGACAGGGGCAAAGTAAAAGCAGTTGAGGCCAAGACAATTATCTACTAATGGGGTTAGGTATGCGTCTTTTGAAAATGAGATTGATGGCAGCTGGTTTGAAAGGCAGGGGAATAGTACTCAACGACTGAATCACTTGCAACATTAGCTAGCATGGGGGTGGGGTCAGGAAAAGGGAGCTGGGTGGCTAGCAATTATAGGAAAGGGTTTTGTAAGCAAGTTGAGCTTGGAAAACCATGAGAGACAATAGGATAGAAAAGACAAAGATGGATAATTAGGGATAGAGTATTGGAGGGAAATTCAGCTTGGCAGACAAGGAACAGGAAGGAAGTGATGGAAGCAGCTAAATAGGCAGTCTCAATGTTATCTTATTTTATTACTAATGAGTTCCTTACATTTGTTGGAAGGGAGGGTGAAGAAAGAAGGAAGGTTAAAGGAGATGGCTGGTAGCGGTGAAAAGAAGCCATGGTTATTTATTTTTCCCTTCAGCTTGACCCTAGAACAATGGACAGCTTTGTAGATAAGAATGATGCCATTATTAAAGGCAAGGTATTTAATTTGGCCCTGCCAGATCTGGTGATGGATGAAATAGTGGCTGGCTATGTCAGGGTAATTGAATGAATGAAAAATAGTAAAGTATTACAGGTCAAGTACCCTTTGTCCACATGTCTGAAAACAGGAAAGACCTAAAAACTGAAGGTCTTGTTGAAAGACGACCCTAATAGATGCACAGAAGTATTGAGTTTGGGCCTTTTGGAAAAAAGCTTTGTTTGACCCAAACGGACCAAAAAGCAAAGATTTTTTTTCCCCACAGGCCCAAACATAGCATATGTACAGGTCTGTTCGGGATATTTGAGAAAATTTTCACTTTTAGGTCCACTCAGGCCTAGTGAAGACTTTTTTTCCAAAGGGCCTGAACAGACCCGAGTGGTAAGTGCAGCAACAAATGGAGATAAAGACCAAGTGTACAGATATCGAAAAACACATTTACAGATGTCATCAGTGTTTTAAATAAAAGTAATGAGAACTCATTCCCAACAGACTAGGTACAATGAGTTCAAGAGTTAAATGAATTGCTTTTGGTTCTGAGATGATAAACAAAATATCTTAGAGTGAAAGGTATGTGTATCTGAAAGCCAAAAATGTCCTTCATCCAAAAAACAATTGGTCCCAAGCTTTCAGCTAAATGACTCTCAACTGTACCAAGGACAAGGGCATCATAAGCATATCTAGCGGAGTCGTTAAAAAATTTAAACATTGCTGAATCATTGTGAAGAGGCAGCCAAGGCTATGCAGTTGAGAAACTCCTGAGAAAACAGTTGTAAGCAAATTTAGGGAAAGCAAGTCTCTAGTCATTAGCATAGAAAGAAGTGGAATAAAGATGCAAAGGGTTATGGGGGCAGTGGTACAAAGAAGTGATCAGAAATAGCCCCATCTGTGATCAATATAATAGAGGCAGAGATCACAAAATATAGCAAGGTTCAGGGCAAGGGTAGCAGGGTGTATTTGGGAATAGTTATGGGAAACAGGAGGCCAGTGAAATAAATGGAGGTGGATAGTGAAATCATTCGAGTTGGACTCTCAAATCAGACAGTCAAAGAGGGTAAATACCTTAGCAGAGAATGAGGATCTTAAATGACTGGCAAGGGGAGTAGAACACTGTAAAAGGTACTCAAAGGAGAAGATATTGGAAGTAGATGAAAAAAGGTACGTTTTGGTCATAAGACATTCAATAGCACCACAGCAAATGGGAAGGTGATGGAAATTATAACATTGTGGGTAAGTAAATATGCTTAAACAATACAAATTTATTGTTGATCAAGAAGCACCTGAAATGAAGGCTAAAATCTAAAATCCTACAGTCAACAATAAGGATCAAGAAATGTAAGTAGCAATCAGTTTAAAATTCTTCTCTGCCTAAGAATAAGAACTGAAACACCATAGTTTAGTGCCTATTCTAAAAGCAAAATAATGGCTCACCTTCAGCCCCATGCACAAGTAGAATCAGGTATCTTACTTAATGCCAGAGTAGATAATGTTGAATGAGACAGAACAGATTCAAATCAGGGCTCATGGGACCAAGTCATTTAAGCCTCTCAAACCTTTTCTACCATTCATAAGATCACAGCTGCTAGGCAATCTCAGTCCACATGAGTCTTTGTCTTTTGTGTTTTGATACTTTTTGGCTAAAACTAATCTCAGTTGCAGTTTCAAAATCAGCAATTGGTCAAGCATCAATCGGCATTTTCTGATGTGTTCCAAACTTTAACTGCCTTTTTTCTCTTTATTCATTCATGGGATGAGGGTGTCGCTGGCTAGGCAGCATTCATTGCCCATCCCCAATTGCCCAGAGGGTGGTTACGAGTCAACCACATTGCTGTGGGTCTGGAATCACATGTAGGCCAGACCAGGTAAGGATGGCAGTTTTCTTCCCTAAAGGACATTAGTGAACCAGATGGTTTTTTCCAACAATCGACAATGGATTCATGGTCATCATTAGACTGTTAGTCCCAGATAATTATTGAATTCAAATTCCAACAACTGCTGTGGCAGGATTCGAACCCGGGTCCCCAGAACATTATCTGGGCCTCTGGATTAACACTCCAGCGATAATACCAGCCTCCCCACATTTGGCGTGAAGAAGCGTTTTCTAATTTCTCACCTGAAAAGCCTGATTCTCATTACTTTACGATGCTCCAGTCTCATGTTCCCCAACTAGCAGAAATCATTTGATCTGATCTGCCCTGTCAGCATCTTTGTATATCTTGCAAACTTCAATCATATCATCCCATAACCTTCTAAATTCCAGGGAATACAACCCTGATTTATCCAATCTTTGTATCGAGTCCAGGTATTATTTTAATACAAATCTCTGCCCTATCTCATTCGTGAATATTCACAGGATTATTTTACAATGAAGCATTAAAAACTTTTTCATTGAACTCCATTTTGAATTAATTTTATTTGCTCCATTCAATTCTCCCAAGACCAACATTTGTGCATGCTGTGAAGTTAAGCATGTGAAATCTTTAATAATTATCCTACATGTCAAGATGTTTGCAATCATTACAAGCCATTATGATTGCGAATATGTCTTGGAAACCAAGACCACCACTTCCCAACAATCTCATTGAAGGTACTGTGAAGGCAATCAGAGCAGGCATCACATCATTACAAAGGAAGGTACATAGGAAATATTGAAATTATGTAGGTAAACATAACCATTCATTCTATGCAAACATCAGGGTGCAGAAGGAAGCAAACAAATTTTTTCAATCTACTTTTTAAGTGCTCCCTTTAATCTGCCAAGTCCCTAGTCACTGGTACAAAAGCTTTGAAACTGACTTACTGGCAGTAAAGTCTCAATCTACACACAGTACTTTAAAATACATTCACTTACTGGGTAACTGCACATCAGTACTGCCCCTCAAGCATCCAACACTCATCAAGACTGCCAAGTAGAAAATGCTACACTGCATTTTACTAAGGGAAACAAACTGTGGATGTGTTTATGCACATATACAAATGAAATAAACCAAACGCCATGCAAAATACAATCCACAAAGGTTGAACTGAGGTTGCAGAGACACCACGGAGCAGTGAGAGAATGAGGTAATTGTGCAAATAAGGATATTCTGCAAGCCACCCAGACAAGCTAATAAGCAAGAGTTGGGAGGGCAAAGGAGGAGATAAAAGGACAAGAGAACATTAATTGCAGACTTCTGGAATCATCTGTTTATTTAAGATTAGTTTTTGTTCTAGATTTTGTAGGTGGACTGGCAAACTTTGTGGGCTTGTTTATGGAAGTCTTGAGCTTGATACTATTGGCTCTTTTCTGTGGCTTTTTCATTTGATTGTGTGGGCTTTTTATAATGGATGTTGCCCTTCTTTTCCTTGAATATTGCAAACTTTTTTCTATTTGTTTTGTCAAATATTGTGAGCCATTCCCTTTCTTTTTAGCAGACATTGTTGGCTCCTTTCTGGGTTTCTTTGGGAAAACATGGTCTTCTTTGGAAGTTATAGGTTGCTTTCTCTTTGAGTGTCGTTGGCTTTTACCTGCTTTAGTTTGGATACTGGGGGCTTTGTTCCGCATATCACAGTGAGCTTGATTCCATGTTTGTTTGTGAAAGACACTGTCGGCTGTTTTCCGACTGTCTTTGGGTAAACATGGGCTTTTCTTGCTATGAACAAGCTGCTTTCTCTTTTTACGGTATATGTTGTAGGGTTTTTTATGTAATTTAGATTGCGTATTGTAGGCTCTCTGATTAGCACTGTGGGTCTTTTTATTAGGGGAGTTTTGGAAGACTTTGTCTTTTCCATTTTTATGAAGACTCTTGTTTGAGAGCTTATTTTGGAGACCAACGCCAGATTTTAGGCCATATTTGGAGCATGCTGTTCCTTTTTTGGCAAATTTTGAACATCTTTTTCTGTTTTTTTGATGAGTACTGTGGGTTCTTTGGAAACACTGGTGAACACCCTGCACTCGTTTCTTTTTATCTTGGCAGGTGTTATCTGTTCTTTCCTTTTTAGGAAAACTTGTAACCGTTCTTCTGGACATTTTCTGGTGCACATTATGAATTTGTTTTCTGTTTTTTTGGAACTGACTCTGTCCTAGATTGATTTCCCACAGTTCTAGATGCCAAAATTCAAGCCTGCCCTTACTGTCTCTCTTCCCTACATTTTTCTCCCTGGCTAAAACTCCTCCATCTAAATTCTGTGGGTCCCCCCTCCCAAGCTTCCTCTTCCATTCCTGTGGTTTCATGGTTGTATTGCTTTCTCTCTCTGTTCCCAAGTCTTTTTTCTGACTCCACAGTTGGAACTGTTGGTGGTGTCCTGGACTCGAATTCCTCTGGAAACATACGACCTGCGAAATCAGGCCAATTTTAAGAAAAAGAAAACAAAAACAGAGGAGGGTAAGGAAGTTTAACTTTTAAAAGTTCCAGATACAAAACTATAACTTGCACCAACCCCCCTCCAACAAAAAGGCAGTTGGAAAATGTATAAAAAGGTTTCCCTGTAACAATAATGTACTGCAAGTGCCCTTGAAAAGCTGCTGGTCAGACTTCTACCACAGGGATTTCCATCCTTGAGAGCTGCCAGCCAGCTCTCGCTGCCCGCCAGCTCTCGCTGCCCAGCAGTGCCAGAATTCAATACTACACACTAGTAAAACTACAAGCATCTCCATAAAGCACATGGTGGCAACTGGAAGCAGATGAGTCCTGAGTGTTTTGAGTGACTAGGGTGCATTTGGACACTTGTTTTTTTTTTGGGAGTAGTGGGTGTAGATTTTGAAGGCTAAGCAAAGAGCTGCAAAGACGATGCATACACAGTATCCTCTAAATGACATACCTGAAAAACAGACTTCCCATTTTCAACTGCCTCCCACTTCCTAGTGCATTATGGCAGTAGAAGTGGCCTCAACAGGCCTATGAGTATGCAAGAGAGTGGCACGCTACCCACACACTATATTATGGAGACCAATCCAGGGTGGGCAGGAAGGCTGTAGACTAGGCACCCAGAATGATATACATGACCCCATTGCTGTCCCTGCCCAGCAACGAATGCAAAATCCAGTCCACTGCTTCAGTATGTGAATAATAACTGCATATAACCATATTTGTTTAGTTTTGATACTTGGAAGGTTCAGAGCTCCACAAGTGAAACAATCAGATAAGATATTGGATTTGTAACATTTGAATGCAAGTGTCTAGTTTGAAGCACACTTACAAGATCATTTGTATTATATTGAGAACAGTCATATAAATATCCAAGAATTGTCAGGTTACCTGAAGCTCAGCTTGTTTTTCTTTGAGTTGTTCGTTCTCTTTTCTCATCTTATCCATAAGTTCTGTCAGTGTGAGCAACATGTCCGGTTTTTCCTTTATGTCTTCCATAAGTTCCTCAGTTCCAGCCTAATTTATAACATGGCAGCTATCAGAGAGTATATGACTCCTGCTCCTACTATTTTCATATTTTTGTGTCAAATGATTGGCATTTTAAATGAATTATGATGATGGCTACTTTCCCTGTCTTTAACCATCTATCCTTCCCTCCTGAATGCATTGACTGCTGATGTGGTAGTCGTATGATACTGCTTTTCTCAGTTTCCTTTAACTGGCCATTACATATGAGTGAGTCTCAACACTAAGTATCAACAAAATACTCAATGCAAAGGGCATTGCTGCTTACCCTAATTCAACGTTCATACATCTACTGACTTGCCCTTCAAGCAGGTACTGCTGAATAGTTTGCAAGTGGAAATTCCTGGCACTTTTTAAAAAATTTGTTCATGGGATGTGGAAGTCATTGGCAAGGCTAACATTTATTGTCCATCCTTAATTACCCTTGAGAAAGTGATGGCTCAGGAAAGTAACTGACTATTGTAGTCTGTGATGTAAGTACACGCAGTGATTTCAGAAAGAGAGTTCCAGGATTTTAGCCCAGTTACAGTGAAGGAATGGCAATTTATAGTTCGAAGTGAGGACAGTGTGGGGCATGGAGGAGAACCTGTGGGCAGAGTCACAGTGTCATACAGCACAGAAACAGACCCTTCAATCCAAACCGTCCATGCCAACCATAATCCCAAACTAAATTAGTCCCATCTGCCTGCGCTTGGGCCATATCCCTCCAAACATTTCTTATTCATATACTTATCTAAATGTCTTTTAAACGTTAGTAATCCGCATCCCACTTCCTCTGGATGTTCATTCCACCATCGAACCACTCTGAGTAAAAAAAAGTTGCCCCTCATGTCTTTTATAAAATCCTTCTCCTCTCACCTTAAAAATATGGCCCCTAGTCTTGAAATCCCCCACCCTAGGGAAAAGACACCTGCTGTTCATCTTATCTATAACCCTCTACAAGGTCATCCCCAACCTCCTACACTCCAGTGAAAAAAGGTCCTAGCCTGTCCAGCCTCTAATTATAACTCAAACCCATTCCCAGCAACATCCTGATAAATCTCTTCTCAACTGTCTCCAGCTTAATATTATCCTTTCTATAACATAGGGACCATAACTGGACACAGTACTCCAGAAGAGTCCTCACCAACGTCCTGTACAACCTCAACATAATGTCCCAACTACTATACTCAAAGTTCCGAGCAATGAAGGCAAGTGTGCTGAATGCCTTCTTAACCATCCTACCTACATGTGCTGCAAATTTCAAAGAATTATGTAACTGAACCCTTAGGTCTCTCTGTTCTACAACACTACTCAAGGCCCAATTATTAATTGTACAAGTCCAGCCCTTGCTTGTTTTACCAAAATGCAATTCCTCACATTCATCCAAACTAAACTCCATCTGCCACTTTTTAGTCCATTGACCCAATTGACCAAGATCGCTTTGTAATCTTAGATAACCTTCTTCACTGTCCACTATACCACCAATCTTGGTGTCACCCAGAAATTTACTTGCTTTCTAGATGCTCATCTAAATCATTTATATAAATGACAAACAGAAGTGGACCCAGCACCAATTCCTATGGAACACGCTGGTCACAGGCGCCTAGTCTGAAAAACAACCCTCCACCATCTCTCTGTCTTCTGTCTTTAACACACATTGTGTATTCCAATGCTGCCCTTGTTCTTCTAGGTAGTAGAGGTAGTGAGTTTGAAAGGTGCTGTCAAAGTAGCCTTAGCAAATTGCTGCGTCTTTCCCAAATAGTGGGGCGTGGGACAAAAAGATTCCTACTGTTGCTTCATGGGATTAGTTCACTTAAGACAGCGAAGAGTTGAACCAAAGGCCTTCCAGTCTTTACGACACAGTTATTTGCGTGTTATTCATCAGCAAAGTCATTCTAATTCTGTAAAATGTTTAAGCTATGGAGGTTTAGTTCCCCAAAATAAAATACCATATCTATTCACACAGATAAAATATTGTGGAAGTTAATTTTAAGAAGAATCTAACTTTGTCATTCTTGCTAATTAGTGGTCAGTAAGGATCACATTATCAACCCTCTTGAGCATTGAGCAACACTCCAATGGAGGCACTAAGCAATGTCAAATAATTCCGAGGATTTTGGATTAGTCAGTGCTCACTGAAAAGTTTAACACACGAGCTACTACGTAGTTACATTTTGTGTAATATCCAGCAATATTGTGAAAATAGGCTGATATCAAATCATTGCTGGACTACATTACAGTCAGTGACAAACATCAAAATTAACTGGGGATATCAGAATATCTGTGGAACAGTCCACCTCAATTTTAGCCAAAAAAGCAGATTGTTTTAGTATTTCTCACAAATTGTACAGAAACGTACATTTTTAGCATTTTTCGGACAGGAGCATATTCACTGACCACCCCCCACCCTTTTGGATAAATCTCCATTCAAGTAATGATTCCAGTTTTCCCTAATAAATTTAGTTTGTGCCAGTGAAAGTCAAAAACATTCTGATAGTACTAATGGAATAATTGCCAGGCACATTGGAATGTTATTTTGGCACTTTGTAGTTGAGCCAGCTGGTCATGTGAAGCATTGAGTCAGCTACACCACTGAACATATTGGTATAGCTGGAACCAGTAACTATTTATGTTATTTTAAGTAGCGTGATCAACTTGGTAAAATGGCAGAATATATTCTTGTTCTGAACAGAAAAATATCTTCAGAAACTGCAGAAAATCAAATCCCAAGGAACAACTCTATTCTGTTTGTACTGCTTCATATATTTTCATCAAAAAGTGGGAGTTTGTTTTTAAATCCTGGGATCTGCAAAAATACTGTTGCTCCACTCCATCAATCAATAGCGTTTGCTTTAGGCAGGAATTTCCGATATCAATTGTTTTAGACTATCATCCTAAAGAAGTAAGATGACAAAAAGCAAAAACAAAGAGTTCCAGCATGAATTGAGCAGAAGTGCAGAAATGCCAGAATCAATTAATGACAGCTGGGACAAATATTAACTGGGGCAGTGGAAACGACAGAAGCGGAGCATCAGGTGGGATGGTCAGAGTGTAAAGAACATCAGAAAATGACTAAAATATTCATCAGGAAGAAGAAATTAAGACTGAGGGTAAGCTTGGTTGGAATGTAAAAATAGATAGCAAGAGTTTCTCTGGGCATTTAAAAAGGAAAGAAGAGTAAGTAAAGTGAGTGTTTGTCCTCTGGAGAGGAAGAATGGGCAGTTAATTGTAGATAATAAAGGAAACAGTAGATGCAATGAACAAGTAATTTGCTCCTGTTTTCAGTATAAAAAGATACAAAAAAATTTCCAATAATAGCTGTAAATCAGGCGGTGGAAGGGAGAAAAGAATATAGCGGAATTACAATCACAAGGGAGATGATACAAAATAAACTGATGTAGCTGTGGGCTGACAAGTCTCCGAGTTCAGATCATAGGGTCTGAAAAAATGGTGGCTAATGAGGTAAGAGATGCATCGGTGTTAATCTTCCAAAAATCCCTAGATTCAGGAAAGGTTCCACTAAACTGGAAAGTAGCAAACATAACATCTCTATTCGAGGAGGTGAGTAAACTTGACACCTAAAGTGCAGTAGATGTCAAAATTGATCATTACATAGATTATAGCTGTGCACTTAGAAAAGAGATCATTGGGAGAAGTCAGCATGGATTTTGTGAAAGGGAAATCATTCTCAAACCACTTTAATGCAGTTCTTGGAAGGAGTAGCATGCACAATGGATAAAGAGGAAACTACATGATTTTCAGGAGGCATTTAACAAAGCAGCAGGTGAAAAGTTATTGTGGAAAATAAAAGTTAGCGAGTAACAAATTATTATGGACAGAAGATTGGCTCGCAGTAAACAAAGAGTGCGCATAAATGAGTCTGTCTATTTAGCAGGATGTGGAGTCCCACAGGGGTCCATGCTGGGACCTCAACTTCTTACAACTAACATCAATGACTTGAATGCGAGGTGCAATGGCATGGTAACTAAATTCACAGACATCAAGTAGAAAGGAAAGTATGTTGTGAAGGTGATATCAGTAAGTTGCAGATAGTTAATTGATAGTTTGAATGCGTGGGCAAAAATATGGCAGATGGAGTGCAACGTGTGAAAATGTAAAGATGTTCACTTTGGCATCAAGAATAAAAAAGCAAGAGCATTACTTAAATGGAGAATGACTGCAAAATTCCAAAGTGCAGAGTGATCTAGTGTTCTTGTGCATGAGTCACAACAAGTTGTAATCAAAAAGACTAATGGGATGCCATCTATTATTACGAGAGAAACTGAACATAAAAGGTTAGGATGTTATGCTATGGTTACACAGGGCAATGGCGAGACCACATGTGGAATACTGTGTAGTTTTGATCTCCTCATTTAAAAGAAGACCGAGTTTGTTGTCTTATGAAGACAAACTGGACTTGCTTCCACTGGAGCTGAGAAGAGTCATGGGTGATTTTAAAGAAGTATATAAAGATCTGAAATGGTCCTGACAAGGTGGACATGAAAAGATTTTCTTCTTGTGGGTCAGTCCGGAAATTAGGGCAGTGTTTTAAATTTAAGGGTCATCCTTTCAGGACAGAGATGAGAATTATTTTTCCTCAAAAGGATTAACAGACTTAAAAACTCTGCTTCAGAAGATGATGCAGACAGGGTCAATGAATATTTTTAAGACAGAGGTAGATAGATTCCCATAAACAGAAGAATCAAGGGTTATTTTTTGGGAGCTGATACAAATATGGAATTCAAAACTCAAATACATCAGCCATCATTTTACTGAAATGATGGAGTAGGCTCATGAGGAGGGGTGGTCTACTTCTACTTCTGTTTCGTATATTCATATGAACTAATGGGGGCACTAGAGTACAGTACCTAAGTTAACTATGGGTGAGTAGATAAACAAAGTGGCTACACACTTCAGCCAGGAAGGAAGGGAAAATAATAAAATAATTTAATACTCAAGACCAGGAAAACAGAATATCCAAAGCCCTGCACATTATTCCAAAGCAGCAAAAATGAATGACAATTATTGGAAACTTTGGCCACAACTTTTCAATAGCTCTGCTCATGACCCTTATCTCCATAAAACATTAGTATTTTTCTGAAAATTGAGTAACAGTGAAAGCATGCAACAATGTGAAGCAATTTGTATTCTTACTACATAGTAAAACCAGAAACTGCACTGTACTGAATTTTATTCTTGATTCAAACCACCACTGTGTCACCAATCGGCTTCTAGGTACACAGTATAAAACACTAAACCAACTGAATGTTTTACTGTTTGAGATTTTATTGTAATGAAGATTTCAACTTTTTCAGTTGGAGGGAGGGCACAAGGCAGCATTAATACTGCTGGCATGTAATGACTTGGGGCATTTACTTACCTGATCCTTTTGACACTGAAAAAGATCATCTTTAACATCATTCAACTCCTCTTCATGAATTTTCTTCACTATTTTCTGCTGTTCCTGAATTTGGGTCGTTCCTGCAATGAGCCAAAAGAAAACACACCATGGTACTATCAAAAAGACAGGCTGTTGGATTTTCTTTTATCAGTGCATTACTGGCTGGCTATTTGAAATATGAAAGATTTGATATTCACAAGTAGCACATGCAAATAATAAGGTTAATTGCGAAATAAATTTAGCATGATTAGAACAAAAAAAACTGAAGGACATATCTTTAATTTCTTTTCATATAAATCCAATGGATTTTGTGGTTGGATGCAGTTTGTCCCACAAGGTTTTATATAATTCTACTTAAGCATTCATTCACTCTCCTGTCTTCCCTTTAAATCCTAACAATGACTACTAATCTCCAAATAAAACATGAATTTGCACAGAATGAAATAAATGAGGTATGTTGCATTTTAACAAATAATTATTTCCATGAATTTGACATTCCCAAGGATAACAGAATTTTGTGTTGTCATCTTTACATACTGTACTGATTGCACAAAATAAATAATGACCAGTAATAATGAGTTGGCAGACATGAAGCCACAAATATATATTGCACTAAATTATGCTTGTGATTACCCACCTGCATTATCCAACTTTCCCCCTTTGTGTCAGCTAGAACACACACCTAGAATTCCATCCCTGCCCCTTCTTCCTGCCACAGAGTTTATAACCAGATTGCAACATTCCATCTCTGTTCCTGCTCTTTTGAACAGTGAACTTTAGTACTACAGTTATTAACATTTATTTATAATTATTTATTAAAGCAGCCAATACGTGTTTTAAACATCTTCATTTTGCTTAAAGAGGCCTGTTCTAAATGTCTACTGATTGTGAATTACTTTTGGAATTCAGCAACATTATTTAGTATTAAATTTTAACAAAACAGATAAGAAAAGTGCAACTGTCATCAATTTTTACTGTATATATATTTTTTGCCCATATTTCTTTAAAACATTTCCCTCAAGCCTGGAGCAAATTGCCCCAGCAGCTGGCAAAATTGCCTTGTTAATAACTAATGAACAACCTACTTTACATGGTGTACATAGACAGCTGCAATTCGAGAAAAATACTGCACAACTCAGGATGTATTTCCCTTTAACTTGTACAGTTCCTTTAACTCATATTAGCAGCTGGAGGAAAATTATTCCTCAAGAACTGTTCTATCACCTTACTGTCTCTGTCTCTCTCTCACACGCACACACAGAGAGAGGAGGGGGGAAGCATCAGGAAGTAAATGATAGGGAGTCACAGGATTTAACACTTCCATCAGAAAAATCACCCCAAAATTAATCTAAGTAAAAGTAGAATTGATTTGAGATGCACACTGCGGATTTAAATCCTAACTGATCATGAGGATATGGGAGGACATCAGATGAGAACAAGATCAGGATTAGCTTGGTATTCCCACTTGAAAAAGTTGGCAACGCTCACCATCCAAACTTATACATTAAAACTTGCTATTTAGCACTGATAAGAAAAAGCTTCCAGCTGCAGGGGGGTCAAGGAGAAAAATATGAGCACAAAAAAAGCAGACAACTGTGAAGAATGGCTATGTAATTTAGGAATATTGCAGATCAATTAATTTGAGTCAAATCAGATTATCATTCTGAAGTAACCAGGAAATGTAACACCTACTACTTTTTAAATAAATGGTAATGATTTTCTAAAAAAGAAAACTGCTCTCCCTAGAAATAAATTGGTACTATTGCTCAGAGGCTGTGGAAACCACAATCATTCGGCTCCTTATTAGCAAACATTAGACTACAGTGTTTAAAAAAAAAACAGGTGGAACAGAGACGCATGAATAGGTTAGCACACCAATACATTAACTTTACTCATGTCTCATCTGATGGAAAAGAAGCAACCCCTCCGCTAATTTCAACTGTCCTATACTATAATGAAATGTACAATATCAAGCTTCTAGTGAATGGTCCATACATCAGAAAATTCCCACAATTTTGCACACATTGTAGAAAAACAGTTTAAAAAAAACACACTGATGTTCATTTGGTGGTCTGCAGGGAATTGTAAGGCAATTAAAGCACTTTGCTGGTTTTCAGCATGATCAGGAAATAAATATTACTTCATTATAGAGAGATACTTATCACCAAGGAGAAGATAAATGTACAAGTGAGTGAAAGATCGAGTACTACAGCGTATGTATAAATGAATGTGCACTAATGTAGCATTCCAAGTGACAAATAATTCCCAAATGCATTCTACACTGCTGAAATTCTAATTAAAGTATAAACTTAAAATATACATTTAAAGCAATGTTTTAAAAAAGTTTAATGGGGGCTATCAAGAGCAAGGATGGCCCTCTCATACTCCCCATTATTTCAAATGAACTTCGTCTCACCCCTCTTCAGAGGCAACTGGCTGCCATCTTGAAAGTCTCCTAAACGGGGATCAAGTATTAAATTTGCAGATTAGTCTCAAACCCAAATGCAATTTATTTCAACAGAGACTTGATATAAGAATATATTTTTTCTACAAAAAAAACTATACGTGCAAGTTTACAATCAACTATGCGCGCACACAGATGTTACTGTCTCAGTTCAATACAAAA